GTTCTCTACACTCACCATACGAAACATAGCAGCATTAAGCTGCTATTTTACGCTGGTATTCTGTGAGAGCGTGATCCTTCCCCGGTCGAGCCGATGCATTCGTGCTACAACTATACTATTAATATACCTGCAGCATGGCTCTACCACGTAAAAATCCTTTCACCAAGAGAGCCATGCTGCTGGATATGGCTGCAGCACGAATACCAGCGTAAAACAGCAGCTGAATGCTGCTAGTTTTCGTATGGTGAGTGTAGAGAACCGGAGACCCTTTTTACTGGAAACAAGGCATTCCATCTTAGTCGTCTAGGGTGATAACGCATCTGCATTATGATTCGTAATCGAACATAGATATAGATGTCTATGGCCCACAGCATCTAGTCACCATCAGGTGGACTGTGTGCTCAATTGTCACACTTATCCTATAAAAAAACCAAGGTGTAAGACATAAGCATGCTCTTTCTTTTTGACCAAATATGACGCTGGTCACTGGCTGACTGCAAAACTCCTATGGGAAGATATGAAATCTTTTTGGTATTTTATGGTAATCTCTAACCCACGGAATGGAGATGGAGTCTGTTACACCACTGTCCTCTTTATCACCAGTTACTTAATAAAAATGCTGGAGTAATTTTTTTGCATTTTAATATTTAATATTTGTTTTTTTTTTATGTAGGATAAGGGTAAAAAACGAGCACACAGACGGTACGTGGTTGCTGTGATCCATAGACATCTACATCTATCCTCGTATGCGAATCAAAATGCAGAAGCGTTGTCACCCGTGAGGACTAAGATGGAATGCCTCGTTTCCAATTAAAGGGATCTCCCGTTCTCTACACTCACCATACGAAACACAGCAGCGTTAAGCTGCTATTTTACGCTGGTATTCTGTGAGAGTGAGAGTGTCGAGCCGACTCATTCGTGCTACAAGTATAAGTACCAGTGATATAGCTGCAGCATGGCTCTACTATGTAAAAATTTATTTTACCACGTAAAAGTTTATCGCTTTCTATCATTATAAGAAAATATAATTTTTCGGTTTTTTTATCTTTCGTAGTTTAAACAATTTTACTTTGTACGGGCCACTGTTTGCGACTCGTACAGCTTCTTTGATAGTTGAGTTAGTTTATAATTAGGTATATAATTTTAAGATAGTATATGACGATAGTACGTAAGTATGAGTGACGTATAAAGTAAACACACGTGTTGTTTCTTGTTTCTGTAACAGTTTATTACACACCTGAGTTCAATTTGAGAATGGCGCATTCTGACAGTGGCGCAGCGCGGCGGTTCGAACTGCGTTAGCATAAAATAAATCGATGGTATTTGGAACTTACATACTTCTCATATCAAATTACATTATTAGGTTCGCGATTTGTATTAAAGGTAAAATCGATTAATTACAAACAAAAACTTTAACTTGTGAAGTGACAGCTAAAAACACAACATCTCAAAAAGTTACCGAAATAAATGACAATAACTTTTTTCACACTGGCAACTGCGAATAATGAAGCGGCGGGACGTCTACGTTCTAAATTCAAATCGAATTCAGACAATGGCATCCAGCAGTCCGCGCCTTTTTAAATCGACCACACAAAGAATGACATAGAGAGAAATTAATGTAATAGATAAAAAAAAATATTTTGTATTCATGTTTGCTACGGACTACTGAATTAACAAATTAATTACGCCTTCAAAGATAATTTATTCGTTACAAGTCAAAATGTAATATTACGTCCATAGAAATACTGTTTAGTTCGTGTCATATAAAAATTTATTTCCATGCATTTCATCGTCATCTTTGCATTTAGTACTACACATAGATTACTATAGTATTTGAGGAGCCATAGCATCTTAAATTACATTATATAATATACTAGCTGGCCAGGCAGACGTTGTTCTGCCCTTTTCGACGACCCTTCATATAAAAAATCCTTGTATTCGTAATAAAAAAATATTGGGTGTCACTTATCAGGATAAAAACTATCCTATCTCTCAAGTTGGACCAAACTGCACAGACTGTGCAAAATTTCATTGAAATCAGTTCAGTTGTTTAGGAGTTCATCGCGGACAAACTATGTGACACGTAATTTTTATATATAAAGATTAGAAAGTGGCATAGAGTAGTTTAATGTTAATAATACTGTGTAATAATAAAAATATAATACGTGATAGAGTCGTGCTGCAGCTATAGTAGTAGTATAGTAGCACGAATAGGACGGCTCGACCGGGGCAGGATCACGCTCTTTCAGAATACCAGCGTAAAATATCAGCTTCATGCTGCTGTGTTTCGTATGGTGAGTGTAGAGAACCGGAAACCCGTTTTACCGGAAAAGAGGCGTTCCATCTTTATATTTATGGTGAACTTTGCACACAATCACTATGCCATGTGCTATGTGCTGTGTGCTTCATGATACGTTAATAATAAGCCCAAAGATTAGTGATCTCATCGCAGAGCGCACGATGACTGATCATTAATCTAAGAATAAGCCAAGCTCACGTACATGGCTCACCCAGTAGTGACACGTATATAGGCTGGAATTTAACTTTTTCTTTTCTATGCAATAAACACACGTTATTGTGAGGATATCAAAGAAATGTTGGCATTTGTTTGATCAATTCATTAAAAATATACTACGAGATTTCTCGAAGCGGGAATTCTCGAGAAATTTGGCCATATTCGAGACGAGGGAAAAGTGGTCGAGAACTCGAGAATTCGTGTCTTGATTTGCGAAAGCTATTTACACACTAGATATTTATCGTAGCACTGGCAGTCTTAAAATAAAAATAAAAATAAAATAAAATGTGCGACATATATAATGACTTTCAATTGTGCTACAATAACTCGATCAATAGCCAAAAAATATTACTTGATAAATTTCGCTCGACAAATATCGAACGTGGATCATTCGTCATTGTTCGAGTACAGTCAAGTCTGGCAACTTTACCAATGGAAGTTAACTTTGCCATCAGGGGTGCACTGGAGCAAAATTACTATTAACACGGAAAACGTTACGTTTTTCGAGATATGCCATTTTTTTGGATGAAAATACAACACAAATTGCTGTCAATTTGGCAAAATGAGAGTTAATTTTGGCAGTTTATTTAACGCGGAATTGTGCCGTATTTATATTGTATCTTTATCTTTGCAGTAACATAATATTAATATGGTTATCAAATGTTATATATCGTTTTTAACGTGTTGGTATTTATTTATAAAACTAACAGAATCCGTAAAAAGTAGTTTCATTTAAATATAAATGTTTATTTTTCATATTATTCTGAGATTTAAAGTACTATCTAGTTAATAGAAAAAAGATTCGTTAGTTGATTATTATGTACTTATATTAATTTTTCCAATGAATTTACGTATGTTACATACATTTTTTAACATACATTTTTTACGTGGTAGAGCCATGCTGCAGCTATATTAGTCGTGTAGTTGTAGCACGAATGGGTCGGCTCGACCGGGGAAGTACCACGCTCTTACAGAATACCAGCGTCAAATAGCAGCTTAACACTGCTGTGTTTCGTATGGTGAGTGTAGAGAACCGGAGACCCTTTTTACTGGAAAAGAGGCACCCCATCTTAGTCCTCACGGGTGACAACGCATCTGCATTTTGATTCGCAAACGAGGATAAATGTAGATGTCTATGGGCCACAGCAACCACTTACCATCAGGTGGACTGTGTGCTCGTTTGTCACCCTATCCTATAAAAAATATGCATAATAAAAAATTTCTCGAAAACTCGAGAATTCTCGAGAAATTCTTGCCCAGGAACTAAAATAACTCAAGAGATGAGAAACCCTTACTCCCTGGTGAATCACACCCGTGCTACGCTAGGATAAATCGTTAGTGCAAAAGTCGTTAGTCAAAAAGAAGTAATATCAACCTTTTTGATAAGACATCGATTAATAAAAAAAGAACGTCTGACAGATTCTTGTCAAGCTTACATATTTCAGTCAGTCAAGTGAATATGTCAGAAACTAAATAACACTACGTGATTATATTCTCTTTGAACACTACACTTGTTCTCAAAAGTATGCCATTGAAAAGCTAAAATGAATTGTATTAAACAAAAAAGAAACAAATGGATGGTTCCTATTTCGTAGACACATCGTACAATTAAACAGCCTGTGTATCAAACGGTAAATAACATATTGTTCCCCGGACGAAGTTCGTCACAGCACGTAGTGAAACACTCTTTGGTCACAGTGGCCAATCTCAATGAAAGTGCCATCTGCACAGAACAGGATTATAGTGCACAAGTGTGTGCGTAAGAACAGCTGCACTCTCTATTCTCTCTCATATTTCGATGGAAGGCAGTCTGATACGATCAGAGAGAAACAGGCGCAGTAACAACGACATGACGTACTTTTCGAGGCACGAGGTGACCAAACAATTTTTTTATAGAATCACCCTTAGGTGATAAACGAGCATACAGTCCTGATGGTGAGTGGATACTATCGATTAGGAATCAAAATGCAGAATGCGTTGTCACACCTGGAGACTACGATGGAATGCATTGGAAACCGGGAATGTAAAAAAGGGCTCAGGTTCTTTACATTCACCATACCAAATACGTATGGTATACCCCGGTCGAGCTGACCCATTCCTGCTACAACCATAACATAGCTGCAGCGAGGCTCTGCCACTTATGCACAAAATTCTAAGGACTTCTATGGGACAGGATGTTGGTTTGAATTGTTTGGCTAGCTTAGTTCCTAGGAGTATTAATTGTAAGTAATAACTTATAATCAATATATAATTTTAATTCAATGCGAGAGTTTTTGTTCCTTTTGTGAAAAAACTTTACACTTAATTTGGGCCCCCCGACAAATTTTAATACAGGGCCCCTCTAAAGCAAGCTACTCCATTGCTTATGACATATGAAATATTATTATAATTTACCACGTATAATAAAATATTGTACATAATACTATTTTAATGGTCTACTTTTAGCAATTACAAAACTTTCTGGTTGGAATTATAAACACAAAAAATGGCAGATTCTTCAAATGAAGTTATTTACAAAGAATTGGATTACACTAAACGCAACACATCATTGATAAGCGATGTACAGGATCGCAAAATCCCCGTCCCTCATGGCAACGCTTTGGAGTCTCAGGTTAGCAGTTATTAAGCTACAAGGTCATTAGTAAAATAATGTTACAAAAGTTATAAATAGAGACGCAAAGGATTATTATTTGTTTTAGTTTTGTATGTGTATTATTTATAATTTTTTTAAATCTATTTTATCTATAAATTAAGAGCAGCACTTTATTTTGTATCAAATTGCAACAGTAAAGTACGTTCTATTAAAACAGTCACTAAATTAAGATATGGATTGTTTACAAAAAGGAAATTGTGTTCAAATTGAGAAAACACTCCCGTCAATGCTTCCAATGTACTTTTATCACCTAGATATTGTGTTCTAGGTGCCCGCGTCATCATCCTACATAATGATGGATCGAAGCCAGCTCAGTGGGGACGTAGACCGATGGATACACGGGGAGAGTGCAACCCCTGTAAGCACTGGTGTCCAGAGGAGCAGGTAGGAAAGTCAAGTAAATAACACTAAAAATAAAATTGCAGTGTCTCTCCGTAGTATCGAAATCAATATCTATAAAGCTTAGGGGGTAATTTGCATTAAATTGCACTTACATTTTTGTCTGTATGTCCAGGCTTATGTTCAGAATGGCTGAACCAATCGTGATGTTACTTCACGAACAAACAGATAGCAATGCCAGAAGTGATTTAGGTTATATGTTTTTCTAAAAATATGTTAGATTTTTTTTTGTCAAAACGAAAAATGATATATGTTATTTTTGATTATAATTTCATAAACTTTAAGAGATATAATAAAAATTTTGGATATTTGGTTGGCAATGAGGGCATTACGACTTTTTCTGCCACCAGGACGGCGGCAGCAGAAAGTGATGTAGGTATAATATTTGACAGATTTCATAGCGGGGAAGTTAATTTGTTCGGAAAATGTAAAGGTTATTGTTTCTTTCTTTGCTAGTAGTTATTAATAAGATTAAAAATAAATAAACTAAACCACAGATATTCATAAAAGTAGAAAAAAAAAAACTTTTAGTAAAAACCAACTTCTCAATTAAATTACATTCCGTAACCAAAAAACTTTACCTCAGTATCTACTAGCGACATCTGGTGAGCAGAAAATTATTAGCCCCCATTTTACACAGAAAGATCCTAATATTTTTTCTTCTATTTCTAAAAGTTTTGATGCAAATCTAATTTTAACATTTTTTAATTCAACAATATTTTATAATAAAACTATGAGTGTTAAAAGATAATGTGAAAATACCCTTTTTACGTGAAATTATAGATCCTTTGTAATAGTGTCATCTATAAAAATGAAGTGTTTGTTTGTAATGTCAAAATAACAGTTTTTACTAAGTGTATATGACAGTATGTACCTATGCTTATAGATGTTAAAGAGATGTTTTACTACATATATAATCTTTTTTTTTTCTAGGATACCGCTGGTGCAACGATCAACTCTCACTGCAGCCACCACAGTGAGAACGTCCGGATTATGTTATGCGTTAGCCCTAATGATGCCCATATTACGAGCACGCCATTACCCAGTTTGGAGATGTAGTCCGAGGTAAAGGAAATAATTTCACTTAGTCATTAGATTTTTTTTTGCCTAGTTATAAGGATGACAAACGTGCACGCGGTCCACCTGATAGTAAGTAGATGCAGTGGCCCATTATCTGCATCTGTTCTCAATTGAGGATCAAAATGCAGATGTGACCTTTGATGACTAAGATGGAATGCCCCTTTTCCAGTAAAAATAAGTCTCCGGTTCTTTACATTCACTATACGAAACATAGCAGTATTAAGCTTTATTATACGCTGATATTTTGTAAGAGCGTGGTCCTTTCTCAGTCGAGTCGACCATTTCGTGCTACAACCATAATATTGCTGCAGCGTGGCTCTACCACGTATAAAATTATACAATATTGTACTTCACTTGTTTCACAAGTTACTATGAAGTAAAGAAAGGACCTTACTGCATGGTGTTACGAAATAAATGTTTTGCCTGCTACTGCCATCTATTGAAATATTTAATAACTACTAACTACTTCTGGGTACTAGTTGTTTTATACTCTAGTATTTAATGCTTTATGGTTCTATCAGATCTGTAGAGATGTCACTGCTCACTATCTTTATTTTATCAAGCAATTACTTGGTGAAGTATAATCTAAAATAATTCCTTCAATGTAGCTATAGAGTAGGAGTTCCCAAACTTTTAAGGTAATGGAACACTCAACAAATCCCTTTTATTATGGAACCCCACATTAAATGATTACATATCATAGAAAGTGCAATTGAAATATTTTAATATAATTCTCGCTAACTGCCTCCGTATCACACAGTAATGGGTTATTCTCATCACATATTCTGCACCAATTCATAATAATAATTGTACCAAAGTGTCAAATTATTTGACGTGCAAAAAAAATTATTTTCCGTTTCATGGAATCTACTTTAGGAATATTTGCTATACAGACTAACAAACTAACAATAGCTATAATATATATTATTCATCATTGATAGCTAAAATTGTCTTATGTGTTTATTGTAAGAAAATGTTAATAAAATTATATGGGAGAATAATCATTGAATAATTAATCAAATACGATTAACTTTACCGTTAAAATGATAATTATAATAAATTTTACTCTTTACTTAATGTCAATAGATAAATACTTAATCAAATAATTTGTCCTGAGTTTTATGTGTTATGTATAGGTGTTAGGTACCTATACGGCCATGTTAAAATCGATGTCAAGCTTAAAGTCGTTCTCTATCTTTTCTCTAAATCACAACAGAAATAGACAGGACTAGAGATAATTAATATTTAATTTAATTTAGCGATAGTCAAGGAAAATAAGTGAGGCCATAAAATTATTATATTATTTTTAAATTTTTAAATGTTGTTTTAGCGCCATCTAGTGCGTATCGTTCTATTTGTTTCACCGTTTTAGTACGTGACTAACACAAGATAAATTATTAACAATCTGTCTACATGAAGCCAACAGATGGCGCACATTATTAATTTGTGTTCATTTTGACTACCAGTGCTATGACAAATACTTTGGAGCCGTTCTTTGTGCACCTGGGTCAGATTTGCAGCAGAATTCGCGAACAGTTTCGACGGCTCTCCACAGAGCACATAGTTCAGGAACTGTTTTCTACAGCTATGGATATAATTCTAGTCGTCTACGCAATCGGTTTTCTTATTATTTCTATGTGCCAGTCGTCAATTAATGAAACTTAATATATTTATATTATGGCAAACTTTACCGTATGTAATTACAAAATGAAATAAAAGCTATACCTACTTAAAATTATTATTTGTTTTTCTTTCATAAACTTTTGTCCTTAATTTTAATTAGATACATAATTTTAATTTTAAATATTCTATAGACTTGTTTTTTTTTTCTTTTTGTATGCCAGTTGTTGACTACGATCCGCCAAAATTAGGGCGGCGATGAAACTCTAGTCTAGAAGATAAGTCACACTGTAAAACTGTATTTATAGCGCAACAAAACCTTTTTTATGCAGTAGAGCCATGCTGCAGCTATATTAGTATGGTTGTAGCACGAACACGATTGGATCGGCTCGACAGGGGTGGGACCGCGCTTTAACAGAATATCAGCGTAAAATAGACAGCATAATGCTGCTGTGTTTCGTATAGTGAGTGTAGAGAACCGAACACCCCTTTTACTGGAAACGAGCCATTCCATCTCAGACCTCAGGGGTGACAATCCATCTGAATAGAATAAAATAGAATAGTTTTTTTTAGAATAGAATGTTTTTTATTCAATATACATTACATGTGTAATTCTTATTGAAAGTCATTTTTTACTTTACCACTGGTTCGAAAAAAACCCTCTGTCCTGGGAAGAACCAGCAAGAAACCCAGCGGGACTTTTTTTTAAAATAAATTTTACAATATAAATGATTACGAACTATTTACAAAATTTATTTTAGAAACTGCTTGGAAGCGACCACCTCATTCCCAGGGGTTATTATCAACCATGTATTCATTTATACTATAATAACCATTTTTATACAGTTTCAGCTTAAAAAAACATTTAAACTTGGTAATAGAGAGAACCTGTACACTTTCCGGGACCTTGTTGTAATAGCGTATACATTGCCCCAAGAATGAATTACTGACTCTGTGGAGTCGAGAAACTGGCATCACTAGCTTGTGTTTGTTCCTAGTGTTTACAGAATGTATATCACTTTTTTTACTAAAACTATCTTTGTTTTTGTGAATATACATTAAATTTTCGTAAATATACTGAGAGGCCAAAGTTAATATATTAATTTCTTTAAATTTATATCTAAGAGACTTTCTCGGTTTTAGATTGTAAATAGCTCTAATGGCCCTCTTCTGTAAAACAAAAATAGTTTCTGAATCAGCCGCATTTCCCCATAGCAAAATCCCATAAGACATTATGCTATGGAAATAACTAAAATAAACTAATCTAGCTGTCTCGACACTAGTGAGACCTCTAATCTTTTTTACAGCATAGGCTGCAGAACTTAGTCTGCTTGCTAATTTGGATATATGGGGGCCCCACTGGAGCTTTGCGTCAAGAGTGATGCCAAGAAAAACAGTGGATACAACAGGGCTCAATTCCTCCCCATTTAAAAACACATTGGTATTCAGATTTTGAACATTCGTTGTTGTAAATTTAACACAATTAGTTTTATTTCCGTTCAAATGCAGATTATTAACGTTAAACCAATGCACTAATTTTGATATACCTAGCATTATTCTTTTCGTCACATTTAAATGATTGACGTTTAAGTTTAAAAATCAAGGAAGTATCATCAACAAATAATACTATATCATGACTATCCCCTACAAGGTGAGGTAAGTCATTAATATACACCAGAAACAGGAATGGGCCGAGAATCGAGCCCTGAGGAACACCCATTAGTACAGGTTTCTGCATTTTGATTCTTAATTGAGTACTAAGACAGAACGCCTCTTTTCCAGTAAAAAGGGTCTCCGGTTCTCTACACTCACCATATGAAACACAGCAGCATTAAGCTACTATTTTACGCTGGTATTCTGTGAGAGCGTGGTCCTTCCCCGGTCCAGCCGACACATTTACACAAATTTAATGTATGTTCACAAAAACAAAGGTAGTTTTAGTAAAAAAAAGTGATGTACATTCTGTAAACACTAGAAACAAACACAAGCTAGTGATACCAGTTTCTCGACTCCACAAAGTCAGTAATTCGTTCTTGTGACAATGTATACGCTATTACAACAAGGTCCCGGGAAGTGTACAGGCTCTTTTTATTACCAAGTTTGAATGTTTTATTAAACTGAAACTGTATAAAAAGGGTTATTATAGTATAAATGAATACATGGTTGATAATAACCCCTGGGAATGAGGTGGTCGCTTCCAAGCTGTTTCTAAAATAAATTTTGTACTTATATAGTTTGTACAACCATTAAAAGAACAACAGCTGGGAAAAAGTAAAATTTGCTTTAAAAAAAATCCCGCCGGGTTTCATGCTGGTTCTTCCCAGGACAGAGGTTTTTTTTCGAACCAGTGGTAAAGTAAAAATGACTTTCGATAAGAATTACACATGTGATCTATATTGAATAAAAAATTATTCTATTCTATTCTATTCGTGCTACAACTATACTATTAATATAGCTGCAGCATGGCTCTACGGCTCTACTTGTACCACGTATACTTGTAGAGAATGACAATAAGTCTGCTCTTTGTTATCTTATTATATTGTGCGTAAGGTGATCACAACAAAATTTTAATTGTTAAATAAATTATAATATTGTACAGTACCATGTAAGTAGTTGCGATGTAAGAATATCCACTACCCCATATAGGCCTGAGGGCATCGTAAGAAGACAAAGGGAAAATGAAACAATAAATTGGCAGAAGCATCTTCCTTTTCATACGAGATTATACTGTGCCAGCGCTTAACTACAATCCCGCCAGATGGTAAGTGGTGATGTAGCCTAAGATGCTGAAGCGCACTCATGATAACAAACTCAACTCAAAATAAAAAAAAACTGAGGTTGCCAACCCGTTTGTCAAGCGTGGCAACTATGGCAAAATTCTATGAGGCTATCTACAAGTAAGCCTATAAGAAATCTATTTAAAATAGTGTTTGAAATATTATAATTATAACGTTGATATATATATATATATATATGTATATAATTGACTGGCCTGTTGGTCTAGTGGTTAGTGACCATGACTGCTACGCCGGAGGTCGTGGGTTCGATTCCCACCCAGGACAAATGTTTGTATGATGAGCACGATCATTTGTTCTATGTCTGGGTGTAATTTATCTATAATATTTATGTATTTAGAAATATATAAGTATGTTTATCAGTTGTCTAGTACCCATAACACAAGCTCTGCTTAGCTTGGGACTAGATGGCGTTGTTTGATAGTTGTGGAATATTATTATTATGGAATATATTATGGTTTTATCTGAATATAAAATAAATACCGATGAAAAATACGAAAAATTAAAATGAATAATATGTCCTAATAATATAATGGACATTGAAGACAAATCGAATCCATTATAAACTGCCAGCTCATGAGGTACCTTGAGCATCACCAGCTGATTAGTGACCGCCAGTACGGTTTTCGTCGAGGTCGATATGCTGGTGATCTTCTAGTCTATCTGACTCATAGATGGGCGGAGGCAGTAGAGTCCAAGGGGGAGGCATTGGCCGTTAGTTTGGACATAGCGAAGACCTTCGATCGGGTCTGGCACAAAGCGCTTCATTCGAAGCTTCCTTCCTATGGGCTTCCCGAGAAATTGTGCAAATGGATCACCAGTTTCCTTGGTGATCGGAGCATCAAGGTCGTAGTAGACGGTGCATGCTCTGATTTCAAGCCTATCAACGCTGGTGTTCCACAAGGCTGCGTGCTATCACCAACGCTGTTTCTCCTGCATATCAATGATATGTTGCTAACTATTAGCATTCATTGCTATGCGGACGCCAGCACTGGTGATGCCGTGCCAATATTTCTCGGGAAAACGTCGCTGAGTATCGGGACAAACTTGTGTCTGAAGTCGAATCTTTGCTTAACAAAGTCTCGGACTGGGGCCGACTAAATCTAGTCCAGTTCAATCCCCAGAAGACACAAGTTTGCGCGTTTACCGCTAAAAAGAACCCCTTTGTCGTATCTCCTCAGTTTCAAGGCACTCCCCTTGCTGCATCAGCTAGTATCGGAATCCTTGGCGTCGACATATCGAATAGTGTGCAGTTTCGTGGTCACTTGGAAGGGAAGGCCAAATTGGCCTCTAAAAAGCTTGGCGTGCTCTGCAGAGCGAGACAGTATTTCATGCCGGCACATCGCTTGCAACTTTACAAAGCGCAAGTTCGGCCCCACATGGAATACTGTTCTCAGCTCTGGGCCGGGGCACCCCAGTGCCAGCTCCTTCCACTTGACCGCATCCAACGCAGAGTGGTTCGAATCGTCGACGACCGAGTTCTTTCTAATCGGCTCGATACACTGGCACTGCGTAGAGATGTTGCATCTCTTTGCGTATTTTATCGCATCTATCACGGGGAGTGCTCTGAGGAATTGTTCGGACTAATTCCAGCCGCTCAATTTCACCATCGCACATCGCGACAAAACTCGCGTTACCATCCATACCATCTGGATGATTGGCGGTCCAGCACTGTGCGATTTAGAAGAAGTTTTCTTCCTCGCACAACTTCCTTGTGGAATCAATTACCACCTGCGAATTTTCCGGACCGATACGACTTAGGAACCTTCAAGAAAAGAGCTTACACCTTTCTAAAAGGCCGTCTGCAATTCCCTTGGTGTTGCGGTTGTTCATGGGTGGCGGTAGTCACTTACTATCAGGTGAGCCGCATGCTCGTTTGCCCCCTATTCTATAGGGGCACCAGCACCAGTGCTCCGATCTGCAAGAAAGCTGGTGATCCAATTGCATAATTTCTCGGGAAGCCCATAGGAAGGGAGCTTCGAAAGAAGCGCTTTGTGCCAAACCCGATCGAAGGCCTTCGCAATGTCCAAACTAACGGCCAATGCCTCCCCCTTGGACTCTACTGCCAACGCCCATCTATGAGTTAAGTAGACCAGAAGATCACCAGCTGATCGACCCCGACGAAAACCGTACTGGCGGTCACTAATCAGCTGGTGATCCTCAAGGTACCGCATGAGCTGGCAGTTTACAACGGATTCCATTATTTTGGAGAACAAGGGGGTGATGGCGATAGGCCTGTAGTTGGACGGA